ATCACTCTCAAACAGGCCCTTAAATTATAGGTTAGGGTAATTGGCACAAAACGTCCCTACCTTTCAAGTCTATTGTGGAAAACGTCCCTACCTTTCATTTTTTGGCATTTTTGCCTTCATTTCAACATTTCTTTGCGCTGGACGTCCTTCCGTCCATATTCCGTCAGTTTTTCAGTTAAACATTCGGGTAATTAGCACAAAACGTCCCTACCTTTCAAGTCTATTGTGAAAAACGTCCTTACCTTTCATTTTTTGACATTTTTGCCCTCATTTCAACCTTTCTTTGCGCTGGACGTTCTTCCGTCCATATTCCATCAGTTTTTCCGTTAATTAAATACAAAAATACCTTTTTCTTTCCATAAATAAGGGTAAAATTGTCCTCACCCACTTCACCCCTTTTTCCCGCCATCAACTTAGTCCATAAGTAACAGTAGCAGCAACATGAATCTGAAAATACTTTAAATGATTAAGTTAAATAAAGAAAAAATATCGTGAACACATTATATTTCACAATTCCACAACTACTATTGCTGTCATCTTGTGTCACTGGAAAAATTTAGAAAGACATATTAAATGGGTAGTCAATTTATAATGAGTCAATTTAAAATGAGCTATTCATCTTCTCCATTGAACCAAAAAGAGCCATTCACCATTTTGGCTCATTATAAATTGACTACCCATTTAATATGTCTTTCTAAAATTTTCCAGTGACACAAGATGACAGCAACAGTAGTTGTGGAATTGTGAAATATAATGTGTTCACGATATTTTTTCTTTATTTAACTTAATCATTTAAAGTATTTTCAGATTCATGTCGCTGCTACTGTTACTTATGGACTAAGTTGATGGCGGGAAAAAGGGGTGAAGTGGGTGAGGACAATTTTATCCTTGTTTATGGAAAGAAAAAGGTATTTTTGTATTTAATTAACGGAAAAACTGACGGAATATGGGCGGAAGGACGTCCAGCGCAAAGAAAGGTTGAAATGAGGGCAAAAATGCCAAAAAATGAAAGGTAGGGATGTTTTCCACAATAGACTTGAAAGGTAGGGACGTTTTGTGCCAATTACCCTTTAATTAACGGAAAAACTAACGGAATATGGACGAAAGGACGTTCAGCGCAAAGAAAGGTTGAAATGAGGGCAAAAATGCCAAAAAATGAAAGGTAGGGACGTTTTCCACAATAGACTTGAAAGGTAAGGACGTTTTGTGCCAATTGCCCATGCCAAAAAATGAAAGGTAGGGACGTTTTCCACAATAGACTTGAAAGGTAAGGACGTTTTGTGCCAATTACCCTTATAGGTTATATCAAATCCTAATCCCATCAGGATTAATAAAGGAATATTCTAATTGGACCCAAAACTAATTAATCTGATTAATTAAATTTAGCCAATATACAAAAAGTTCAGCAGCAATTATCGAGTCCTCCCAACAATTGGGTAGAGGACATAAAACTTAAAATCTCTCACTTGGATTAGGTCCAATTCCAAATTATCAGTTTCTTATTATTTTTTTCCCATCTACTGTAATCAACATTGTAATATTATTATCTTGATCTAATAAGTATAAGATAAACTAAAATCCATCTTTTACCTTCTGTTTGGATCTCATTTTATTGTACTACAATTTCACTAATCAAGAAATGGGTTATGGATAAATAAATAATATTAGTGAATCCTATGAAAAATGTGGTTAAAATACTATTTGATTTTGAAATTAACTTATGCCTTACGGCAATATATGTCGGGAAAAATATTATGTGGTATGACAAGATCATTTCTCAGGTTATCACATAAATATAATCACTTTATCAATTACAGTCCAACAGATTACGAGATATGGATAATCGTCAATCTCGATATAACCAATTATATTATTCATCAAAACTTATTTGACGAAATATACGAGTTTTATGTCATGATCTCTTATTATCTAGGAGTGATAAATCACGTTTTTGTCATTTATTACTCTTCATATGATTCTAGACCAAAAAAATTTTCAACGTCATCAAAATGTATACGTCCTTATATAAGATTCTATAATAATTATTAACCTCAATTCATATGATCAAATCCACTACATAACACTTGAAATTTTTTACTGATTCTAAAATAGTTGTCCATATAAAATCTTTGTTCCAGACCATCACATAAAATGTTCCTTTTGCAACTCATCCACATATTCATTCAAATGTCTCCACATTTTAACTTATAAAATAAACTACTTTCTTCAAAAGAAAGTAATACGATACCATGCTGGCCTATCTGTAATTATGACATATATCCATATCTTATAGTTACTAAGATGAACACCAAACCTTCAATACTTACCCAAAGATAAGAAATCGATTAATACACTAACCTCAATTCATATCGCTTCACTCTTTCACTCAAGAAACACATAATCCATTAAAAATTATAGAGTATACAAAGAATACTAGAGAAGAGGCACAACTTTAGAGAGAGAAAGCATCTTGTTATAACCCTACAGTGATATGGCTTCATTTTATACACATTCACATGGCTTCATTTTATACACATTCACTATTAGACGATCAACACAGGAATAAACTCTTTGACAGATAAAATGTGTTTCATCATTTGTTCAATTATTGAAATGCACCGTTAGTACAGTATTTACTTGTATTGCCTTTAATAATAATTTTATAAGAATCAAACATCTTCGTATTCATTTTTCAATGAGTAATGCTAGTTAACATCATACGTATTAAACACCAGTTTATGTGACACTGATGGAATATTAAATGAGATTTACAATTAAATGAGTCACTTAATTATATTTTTTATTGAGCTTATTAAATAGCTCACACATAAACCGATGTTGTAGCATCAGTGATGCTATATAATATTATTCTTTTTTAATATGTTGATTATTTGAATCCTCGATAATTTTGTAAAATAAGAGGATGCTCGTTATGTGATATTAAATGAAAAATCCAATTAAATGAATTACTAATTATAAATTTCATTGAACCATCGTATAACATCACCTAAATTGGTGTTATAGCATTAATAGTATTATAGCATTGTTCCTTAATATAACATTTCAGTGAAATCAAACAAAAGTTATAAATGTAGAATGAGGAAATAAATAAATTTTTTATTTTTTTATTTTAGATAATAAATAATTTTTTATTTTAGAGAAGTAAATGTCTTGTCTAATTAATCTCAATCGTTTACCTGTCCAACAAAGTAGGAATCTGATACAGTGCGGGGCTGGCAACCCCAGCGTGGGGAGTTCGATTCCTGGTTGTAGCAGCTGAGTGTTGTAATAACCAGAGGAAGGGTTGGAGTAGCTTGGTGATGTAATAACCATGGAGGAGGCTCCCTCGGGGCCAGGAGTATAGAGGCTGTTCGAACCCTGGTCAACTTGGGCACATCCCGCGATTTACCTCCCTGAGCTGCTGAGGGGCCGGAAGTTTAGGGAAGATGATATAGTCTGGCGTAAGCTGGGACACCTCGTTAAAAAAAAAAAAAAAAAAAAAAAAAAGTAGGAATCTGAGATTTTTATTGGGCTTAATGTTTAGGCCCAAGCCATTATTTTGGCGGGAAATACGAAGCGTAGCCTTCTATTCTTAACAAGCGTGTCCGGTAAGCTTCAACTCCAATCAAACCACGGCGCTGCCGCACAACCAACAAAGCACAACGTACAACTCTACACTCTCTTCTGCTTCTCGCACTTTTGTTGATCGCCTCTTTCCTATTCTCTGTAAGTACCTTTTTATCTCCCAATAGTCATATATTAGGGTTGTGCGTATATGAATATTCATGTGGATGTATTTTTGTAATTTATTGGGCATTTATCCATTTTTAATCACTTTTCCTTGCAATGTGTTTAATCAGCTGCTTTTACATACTTGAATCCAACTGTATTTATACATAGCAGAGTTTTCATTTATTTTTCTCTTACTGTTTGTTCTATTAATTCAGTCTGTGCTATGACGGTGTTGAGGTCCCGAGAAATAGCGTCAACATTCAATTCCGAAGGTTCGCTACCAAAAGCCTTCGAGAATGCGGTAACTGAACCGGTGACTCCAGCGAAAACCCTTGAATATTCGAACTATTCAGTGATAAATACGACCCCAATTTCTAGTTCTTCGGCTCCAAATCCAGGTGTAGAATCGGGGTTGGTGGCTGGTTCCATTATGGGTTCCGAAGCTGTGACCGTGCGGAGAAGTGCACGCTTGGCATCAAAGCTTGATCACCAGGAAAATATTGAGATTATGAGTGAAGAAAGGAAGAAAGTAAAGACAAAAGTTGAGAATAATCCTAGTGAGGGTGTATGTGAGATAGGGAATTTGGAGAAAGGGGTTTTGGATTCAGATTTGGAGGCTGAGAAGGAAGGTGAGTTTTCTGAACAGAAAATGACAGGAACTCGGCTTGTCAGTGGATCAGTTCCTGTTTTGGAGGAAAGAAAGTTTGCCAAAGGTGTCGGTGAATCTGGATTTGGTTGTGATGGAGAAACTTTGGGGATTAAGATTGCCAATAATGGGAAAGGGAAGGGGACATATAGCATGGAGATGGATTTAGCTGTTTTGAAGTCAGGTAACAAGGATGTGAAAGAAAGAGGGTTCTTTAACTTAAGATCAGGAAAGAAAGTAGTGAAGAGAACAATTGAAGGTGATTTTGGAGGTCCTAGTATTGGGTTGGAAGAATTTGAGAGTTGGAATAATGATGCTAAGTCAGGTTATGGTAAAGAAAGTGAGATTTTGTTGAATGGTGACCGTGATAAGACTGACTCAGAGAGAAACATGGAAGAGGATGTATGTAGTAGTTGGAAGAAGAGAAGACTTAGTAGAGGAGAGAAAGGTAAAGGGAAAGTGGTTGGTAATACTTCGCCAACAAGTAGTGCTGTTTCGGTGAAATTGGAAGTAGACAAAGAAGTAGGGATACTAATTGATGAATCAAGCTCCAGGTTATCTCAAAATGTAGATGGTAAAGTAGAAGTCATAGGCCAAAGTGTGATTGGAATTGAAACTGGTGTGAAGACTAGAGCAAGACTGCGAAAAGAAGAAAAAGGGAAAGGAAAATTGGTAGAGAAAGATTCTTCCTCTAATGATATGGATGCTTTGGATAAGAGGTTTGAGCTTATGGTAGAAAATAAAAAGGAAAATGTTCGCGCAGGTACCATCCGCTTGCCAGAAAATGCAGCATTGCTAGACGTGAATATCGTCAGAGAAACAGATGCAAGAAGTCATAAGAAACGGTTCAGAGATATAGCCAGACAAAATGCATCTCGGTTTGCACATTTTTCTGCCCAAGAGGAAGAGCTGGGCCATGCTGCTGCTGGTATTGCTGGAAGAGCAATTCCAACCTCTGAAGCTGTCAGTGAAATAGAAGACTGGCCTGGTCCCTTTTCAACTGCCATGAAAATCATTAAGGATCGTGAGAAGAATATGCCTGGGCTGCATGGTTCCTCAGTGGGCAAAAGTAAAGCTGTGGACCTAACATGGGTTCCCAGAAAAGATGAGAAATGTAACCGCCAAAAGCAGTTTCCTCCCTCATTGCAACAACTATGCTTGTCAATTCTAGCAAAAAATGCTGATGCTATTACTTCACTTGACTGCATCCCTGATGTGTTGAGGCACAAGCTCTGTCAGTTGCTTTGTGATTCCAGGAAGATGAATAGTCATTTTCTTCAATTGCTTGTTAGTGGATTTCCAACAGAGATACGTCTGAAGGACTGCTCGTGGTTGTCTGAGGAGCTATTCATTAGGACATTTGAAAGTATCGATACCAACAACTTAACTGTAAGATTCTTTTTGCTCATGTTCCATTTACATATCTGATTATTTATTCTGTATACGAAAAATGTTCCCGTATTGTTTAGATTCGCAAATAGCATTTAGTCGTTGCTTCCCCAAGTTCTGTGTATTTGTTACATTTAATGCAGCGATCACTTCGTCTGGAGTGCTAACCTTAATTACAATGTAAAAGTCTTTGAATTGTTTTTGAGGATATTACTTATTCTGCTGTTTAAGTTTGGTTTCGGATGTCATTAGTGGAAACTGTCAGGCTGATATACTTTTGTTAGACCATATCCTTTGATCAATGGCTTCTCTTTGAATTCGTATCTTTGAAGGACCTGAAATATCATTTCATGATATTAGGTGCTGCAATTGGATCAATGTGGATGCTGTCTACCAGACTATACTCTCTCTGCTACCTTGGCCCATTCACTTAATAGTCTTCCTGCTCTGACTACAGTATCGTTGAAGGGTGCATACCGTCTTTCAGATGATGGACTAAAAGCACTTGTTTCTTCTGCCCCATCTATCACATCTATTAATCTCAGCCAGTGTTCCCTGCTTACCTCTGTTGGCATTTGCAGTTTGGCAAACTCGCTGAAATCAGTTCTAAGGGAATTATATATAGATGATTGTCTGGAAATAGATGCTATGCTTATTCTACCAGCATTGTTAAAGCTAGAGCATTTGGAAGTTCTATCACTAGGTGGAATCCAGACTGTTTGTGATAAGTTTATCAGTGAAATTGTATCTGTACATGGTTGCAGCATCAAACAACTTGGTTTAGCAGGCTGCATGTAAGTGTCTGGTTGACAATATTTGTTTTTGTTCACAGAAGAGTTTAAAACAATAATCTAACTCGAAATTTATTTTCAAAACATGTTGCAGGCAGCTGTCTGATTTATCTTTGAAAGTCATTGCAGCGACTTGTTCTGAATTAAAAGTGATAGACCTCACGACCTTGTGCACATTGACAGATACTGCAATGGCACACCTTGCGAATGGTTGTCGAGCAATTCATACGCTGAAATTATGTCGCAATGCATTCAGGTTTCTATTCTTTGAATGAATCTAATAATATTTTCATCCACAATTATACTAAAGTTCATTCTGTGGGGGTATTGCATATTGACGCTTGTATGCTTGTGTCTATGGCTGAAGATTGGGGAATTCTTTTCCTTTGGACTTGACCATGACCTGATTAGTGAATTTTTCTTCTAGTCACGTTTCCTTGATTTTCATGGACGAGGAAGCTATGTATATTTGTTATTAATTTAAATCTTTCGAGGACTTGCTAAGATTTTTAATTCATTGTTCTACCGGCGGAACTCTGAGTTTTGTTGTGAGAATAAAAGGTGTTGCTCACCATATAAGTCTATTTACTCTTGTATCTATGTAAGTTATGACAATGATGGATTGAAATAGATGAGCCCTTAGTCATAGTTAAACTACTCAACAATGGTTCTTTTTACACAAGTTAAGCCTTCCATTGAGGAAACAAATACAGTGTAATTTAGTGACAGGGATGAATACAGTAGATGAAAACCTTGATTCTCCTTCATTTTATTTGTTCTAGTTTGGTTTGCTATTTGTCTCTTTTTTTGTTCCTAGGTCTCTTGATGTAGTCCTATACCACTTTGGGACATAATTTGGGTACTCCTGATTTGAAAATAACTGTTGGAATTCTTGGCTTTCATGTTCTGGCAGTGATGAAGCTATTGCTGCATATCTTGAGATGTCTGGAGCATCTCTAATAGAACTGTCACTCAACGACATTAACGAGGTAAGAAAGTAAGGGTTTGTTTGAGCCCCGTTTTTTGGAATAATAGATTTTGTAATAGTGACTATTGGAGAATATGTGGTTAAAAAGTAGGGAAAAGTTTTGGGTTTACATATAAAATTATTTCATTGGAAGAATGTGTGGTCGAAAATGAGTGTGAAGAAAAATAGTTTTTAAAGAATGGGGCTCAAATAGAGACTAAATTTAATTCAACAGTACTTATATTTCTATTTTCACTCTTATTTGTCGATAAGATTATTTTGATAACATGCTGCACTTGCAGTTGACTGGTGCTTTGTTTGCTCTTTCTCTTGTCTCTTGATAACGTGTGCTTGATGTCAATGAAATTTGGTGCTCAAAGATAGGACAGTGTGCTTAACCTCTTTCAGAGATGTTAATTGCTCTAGCTAAAAATTAGGATTTCTGAGTGCATTAATGCAAAGGCTTTGCTCGTATTTCCCTAAATTAACTTGTATTGTTAATGGTGGCCATCTGATTTTACAGGTTTCAAATAACACTGCTCTATCGCTTGCTGAACATTCCAGAAATCTAGTTACTCTTGATTTGTCTTGGTGCCGTAATTTGACCAATGAAGCTCTTGGATTAATCGTGGATAGTTGCTTATCACTGGAAGTGCTCAAATTGTTTGGATGCACTCAGGTATTTGTTGATTGGTTGGCAAATTATGTCAAGCAGTAATATTTCTCTTCTACTTGATCAATGAATCTCCTATTTGTTCTGTCAAGTTCTATGTATAAGCTGTTTTCATCTTTTCCTATTGTTTGCACCACTGCTAGCATTGAGAATTACTTCCCAAATATTACACGGGGTAGTGATTGGTGGCTGGAGCTTATCTGGTATTAGTACATAGAATCTTTGTCCTCTAATTATTGTATGATTTGTCATTGTGGTTTTCCCTTTCCTCAACATACAATGTTTGACTGTGGCACTACTCGAAATTTCCTTATTGGGAAAGCAGATGGGTTAGTTAACTTTTAATTGATGCTCTGGATATGAAATTCTCTTCCGTAAGAATTCAGTGATGATGATGACAGATCTTGCATATTTTTCTGGTGGTTCTGGTTTTTGCTCTATGATCTTTTTAAATGACTCGTGCTTTTCTTACTGCAAACTTTCCACGTAGTTTTCTTGAGAACTGTCTTTATTCAGCATTCTTAATTTTGGAATTGCCCCAACTTTTTCTTGAGGTAGTGAGTTATGAAATGGTGAATTGCAGATCACAAATGCATTTCTTGATGGCCACTCGAACCCCCAAGTAAAAATCATTGGATTGAAGATGAGTCAAGTATTCGAGCATATTAAGGAGCCAAATTTACTTTAAAACTGCCATGATAGAGACCTCTGCTTTTGTGGGCAACTTTTCCACCTCTTGTCCGTTCGCATCAAGGAAAATGGCTTGAAGCTTTTGTCTGCATAATTTCATGATATAGATATTTCTAGATGTTTTCACTGGAAATGACTCACAATTCATGAGTAGTTTCTTGATGTATGAGAATTCATAGCATGATATCCATCCATTTTTGTGTAGCTTCTCTACAGTTTATGCACTGAAGTCAAGACAGTATACATTATGTAAATGCTGTCGTGGCTCTTATTTTGCTGCGAGCTTATGATGTTTGCTAAATATGTTAGTTATATTATGGGTTGACCCTTACATTGGGAATTTTGTTGTAGTAGAATTTGTTGACAGTGTGTTAATCTGTCTCTCCCCATTGCAATGGTTTTCTTTCGTCTGAAGTCTGAAGATAGGCAAATGAGACAGGTTAAAAACAGATTGATGTGGCACCAAGTTGTTGGGTCTAATTTTTTTTTTTTTTCCCGCTCTTCAATCATGCATTGACACGTGTGTTGCTTGTTTTAAAGCTTGTTTCTGTAGTATTGCTCCTGAAAATATCATAATATCCAATTCTAGTTCAATATATGCTGCACCATGCGAATGTCTACGAGAATTTTGCTCTACATTAATAATGGCTACTTTTCATACCAATTCCAACAATTCCATGAGATATCCGAAGCTGATATTTACAGGGCAAGTTTGATTTTGATCGAGCTTTACTTGGATAATTATCTTCTTTGGAGAGCCTCAGTTGTTCTTCTTATCAAAAGCGTGGGATGAGAATAGCATATTTGATATCACACGATAAAACACCATTGAAAGATTCTGAAGAAGAATATACAAAGCCAAAAAGAAAGCCAAAGGCTCTTGATGTCTTCTCACGGGAATGACTGAAGATCCAATGAGCACGACAAACTACGTGATGCCAGCGTAAAAAATTAGATGAAATATGTAGTTAAAAAATTGATAAATATTATGGATTTTTTCAAATGTGCGGTTAAAATTAATTGTTGAATTTGACTTAAATTTTTATCAAAACTTAAGCCACAACAAACAAGGGCGATATGTACAGCTCGCTTTGTGGAACTTCTCCCAACAAAAGAGGAGGAATCATGGTTTTATTATTATTTTTTGATAAACTCCATGTGAACTTGGGGGGAATGTTTGATAGAACGATTAGTACAAAAGGGAGAGATGTCCCAGCCTAATCTCCAAAGATAAAGAGGAAGAAGGAAAATTGAGATTAAAATTCTCATTATGATGAGCCATTACAAAATTAAAATTCAAAAGATACCTAACTTTATTTGCAAATACCATTTATTCATTAATGAGATTATTTAAATTTGATCAAGTGAAGGATTGTTGGAAAATTGTTCAAATAAAAGTGAAAATTGAAGTTTAATGACCAAATGATAAACTTAAAGAAAGATTATGGCTTAAGAGAAATAATTTGGGAGGGACTCACAAATACTTTGAAGAAGTTTATTATCCTTACATGCAAATCCAATTTTGAGATTTGAATTGAAAAAGAGACCAAAATTAAATTGGTGTACAAGTCCAATTCATGACATGTTTTCCTCCTCGTTGGAGTTGCATCTTAGAAAACTAATAAGCAGAATCCCATTGCTTCATCTACACAAGAAAGAGAATTTCGTTGCTGATCTCAAAATTTTTCATTGCACAATGAGACCTGTGAAGATTTATTGTAATAATTTGATTGCATTTTTTCCTCCAAGAACAATAAGGTTACAAAATTTTCGATTCCATAGCAGGACCTACGAAGATCTACTGTGATAAATTGCGGGTTTCTCCTTCAAGACAATAAGGTCTCAAATTTTTATTCCTAACTAGACGTATGATGATTTATTGTGATAATTCGACTGTGATTTTCGTCTTGAAGAACAATAAGTTGGAAGTCGAAGTAAGATCTTATGATTCGAGAACGTATCAAGAATCGTGAAATTGCAATCAAACATATTGGTATTCAGCTGATGATAGTAGATCTCAGGACTAAGATTTCTATCAAAAAAAATGTAGAGATCATGTGGAGAATATGGGTGGTGTTGGCTGTTTTTTAGTTTAATCTGTCACATATTATTATTTTCTAGACATTATTTGATTTTCTTGGAGAATAAAGTTGTGATTGTACAAATAAAGTGTAATATTCAAGAGGAAATCTAATAAAGTATCATATCTGTTGGGATATTTAAGTGAGGGAGTGTTTTACCTTCCAATATATTTACAAAGTTTACTGACAAATAATATTTACCCTCGATAAAGACTAATCCTATGATTTAGATAATATTTTAAAAATACTCACATCAAACACACTAAATTTAATCTAATAACGCAATCGTTCCATTATCGTCAATTCAAGAGAATGAGTTTTCCCACCCAGAAACCACTCAACTCCATCTCCTTAAGAAGCCAGTCTCGCTCCACTTGCCACCAGCAATTGTTAAAATCCCAGATTCTCATAACCAAACATACCAAATTCAATTTTATAAGCCCTTGTTTGAGCCCCATTCTTTTGATAAGAATGAATTTTTGAATAGTATATTGATGAAAAATGTGTGGTTAAAAAATAAGGAAAAGTTTTGGATTTGCGTGTAATATTATTTTATTGAAAAATGTGTTATTGAAATGATATCAAAATACTGTTTAAGAATTCATTTTTTTTTCAAAAAAATGGGAATCAAACAGGGGCTAATTCTACATTGATACGAGTTTTCCCAAACTTATTCCTTTCAACAACTAACATTTCTTTCTTTCTACTGAGATGAAGGCTATTAATTGGTATGATTAATTTTTGAAATATTAATCTTGATACTTAGCATACATAAGGATGATTGGGTAGAATGCATATGTGGTCTGAACTTTCAATAATTTTAACTAAATTTATTGATAATAGCCATGTGTATTTGAAGGTGTTTCATTATATTATTCCGAAGAACCTATATCATAAATCTAGAAAACACAAGGACATCTCTAATGGATGCACCAAATCATCAAAATACACCAAGTTTTGATGTAAAATCTCTTCAATGTGGCACCACAGTTTGCACCATTTTGGTGCAAAATGGAGCAAAGTCAAATTTACGCTTTTCTTCTATTTGCCAAATTAATTGATGGAGGGTATTTGTGTCATTTGTGTTATATATTTTTAAAAGACTAGTACCCTATCTCACGGCTAAAGAAAAATGGGTAGTCATTGATAAAAATTAATCTAAATCATACAAGGGCTCAAATATGGGAAGATTATTTGACAGATATAAAGATCATTTATGATATATTCAATCAAATGACAGCAATAGTAAAGGAGTCTTTAACGCATTCAAGTTAAATTAGGAGTGTGAAATGGGTGGAGTCGAACCATTTAGCCTGCCCATCTTCAGGCTCAGCTCGGCTTACCGTTGCTTTACAAACAAAACTCGTCCCTTGATGTCAATTTTTTTTTAGAGCTAGGTTACAGGTATAGAAAACAGTTGACAGATTTTTTACAAAACAATACTTGACAAAAATTCATTGGTTTTGAACAGAATATTGACAGAAAATACACCACACAGGTGCTGTCAACACCCGTATGATTTCTATGAGTAATTCCTTTTTTTTATTACTGAAATTATTTTTTCACTCTCTCAAAACAACGAACTCGTCATCCAACTCTTGTAAACAAACAATCAATTCACACGACAAATTCGCTGCTCAACTCACTGTTGGGGTAGGCACACTCCTAGGCAGAATCAATTCATTGCCTCTACATATCTCCATATTCTGATTTTTGTATATAGTTGGTTACCTGTCCATGTTCTTCTCTCTCTCTCGACATACACAGGTATGGCAAATCTCCGTATTCTTATTTATGTATATATAAGGAAAATTCTTGGTGTTATGTGCACAAATTATGTACATCAAGCACAACCCAGTACATAATTAGTAAATTGTTCACATTCTTCTTTTTCATTTTATTTACATACATAGGATTTCCGTGTCTTGTATATGCATAATAATTTATACATCACCATCGTCCCTGCTTTACCAATTGAGTGAAAATACACATTCTGATAATTCAGACATTCTTTCACCAGACATACTCTGTTATGGAGAAAAAACACAACATGATAATTGCTTAATATCTGAGGCTAACCGACCACTCTGCCAAAAATTCCTTTCCAGTCGTCCTAGCATCCAAATGCATCTTAGAATTTGGCAATTAATGGTACCAAACAATGCCATAATCTGAAGCTGGGCCACGATATAGAAACCAAAACAGAAAAATCCCAAAAAGATACTACACAAGCCCAAGAAAATGAATAACAACAAAAACCAAAAGATAACCTATATATCCTGTTGTAGAAATCTCTCGAGAAATCTTGATTTCGGGCTCAGAAAATAACCAAACGAACACGAGTTTACCTCGGCTCGACTCAAACCTTTAACCTTCACTTTGGTTGCTCTAAGAACTCTCAAACCCCATAAAGAGGAATGGATGGTTGTGGCAATAGGAAGAACAAGAAGAAGAAGAAGAAGAAGCAATGGTGGAAATCACTCCAACAAACCCCCCAAGCCAGTTGCCCCTTGACCTTCTCTTTCTCTCGGTCCTCTCTTCCACACACACACACACACACCCCATCATAAGAAACGGTTGCTGGAGGAGATGGATATATAATGGATATTATGTCACAAATAATGGGCTTAACTTATTCATTTATGGGCCAAAGATATATCTCTCTCAATGGGCCAACAATAATTCAAAACCACATACTAATCAAACCACCAATCCAACTTCAACTTGGGCCTTTCGAAAGTGTCAATCGTATTCGAGCCAAACCAAGTCCATGGTATCGATAAATTATCCGACAACTATTTTAAATTATCGCTCGAATTTATCGGGTATCCAAATCCTACAAATCTTCACCTTTATGCCCAATAAATCTGCAAGCAATCAAAATACAAAATTTATACTTGCATAATCAAAGTAACCAATAAAATTGGAATCACAGACCGTACCTCATGTTTTCAATCTGAAACACATACCAGACTTGCTCCATGTACTCATCGGGGCTAAAGTTAAGAACACCTAAGTAAAAGCAAATATTCACAGTAAACAATCAATAGCAAATAAACATGCGATGATGATATATTATAGGATAACACACATAGATCTTTTCATAAACACCTTTACACAGAACCACAGATTAACACCAATTTAATCAAACACAACGTCAAACGCATATGCAACAAATGCATAAATGACCCACGGAAGATCTCACCACACTTATCCTATCCCATTCCATGTTGCTCACACCTCAAGAAAACATATCTCCTTTCATTGCCTATCATGCTCACTAGACTGATCACTCAACTCATGTCTAACTAGTAGGTTACAATAGATCCTAAATTTACGGGATAATCCTCTATCACCACATCACTTTTTCCAACTTACGTGGATAATGGGTCTCTACCTAATATAAGTGATAGAAGTGCCTCTCTCGCACTCTAGATGTACAGAGTCTCTTTATAGATAAATGATTCCAATATTTAATCACCACTCCACACGTGATCTAAATGTCACACTCCACATCCCCCATTCATATCACCAATGCACCTTTAGGTATCTAAACTCCACCTTACCAAAAGACATACAACACACTGTTAATGCATCCTAACCCACTATGCATACAAACAATTACATAAAGAAATCATATTGCCTCAAATTCATGCAAATGCACATATCAAACCCAAATGCAGCATATTATCATGCAACAAATTAGACAATCACACACATACAGAAAGGATCACACACAGATGCACATGCCGTAACTAGGTTTACTATCAATAAACTTTGCTAGGGTCATCACTCTACCTAATCATGACATTCACCTCACCTCTCTCATTATCTCTCCTTTTATTATCATTACTCGGACAATCTATCTCACCATATCCAAATTTACTACAATTAAAGCATATTTTTATTTTTCTCACTTGCCTTAGATTTATATATGACATCAATACCAAATAATGACAACAATCAAAGTACAAATATAATTCACATAGAATAATCAAATTAACTTTCCTAAAGTCACATGCAATTTTAAAAGTATAGAAAAATTGGCAACAAATTCAGAAAGAATTTAAGGCAAATAATTCCTAAGTCTAGCAATAGGCAATGGTTACCCTATCACGGTAACCCTAAACCTAACATCACCTCACCCGATGACTTCTAATGTGGAAAAATAAATAATTACCTTACATAATAATTTTAGAAGCAATAATAAAAGGCAAAGAACAAGATATCGAGCGGACCACATCTAAAGGTTCGTAAACAACGAGAGATGTAAATTTATTACTCTAGGATCGTCTGCAATCGCAGCAACGCAAAACGACATTTGACACCGGAACGTCCAATAGCAAAATCATCCAACTTTCACTGCATTGCTCAAAACTGGAGGAGTTTAAACATTGCAGGGTCCGACTTATCACCAGCAACATTCTGTCTTATGTCACTGTTTCCAGATTCCACCTTACGGGCAGCCACGAACCTGGCCAGAATTCTTACGCCGCTGGCGACTTTGACCACACGCCATCCCTACGATTGCGCCTCTGCTTGCTGAGTCCACTAGTGGTCCTCGTTTGTCTATATGATGAATAGTTTCATCGAAAAATGCGATTACAGGTTCAGCCACAAATTTTCAAATCTGGGCAGTTTTCTGTCCCATTTTCCAGCCTCAATTTAGACCATTTCCAGCTAGTTTTTACCCCCCAAAAATCATAAATTTCTCAACAACACAAGCTCTGATACCATTTGTCGCAAAATCCCTCAAGAAATCTTAATTTCGGGCTCAGAAAACAACCAAACGAATACCAGCTTATCTCGGCTCGACCCAAACTTTTAACCTTCACTTTGTCTGCTCAAAGAACTCTCAAAACCCACAAAAAGGAATAAATGGTGGTGGCAATAGGAAGAAGAGGCAACAATGATAGGAATCACTCCAACAAACCCCCCAAGCTGGCTACCCCTCGACTCTCTCTTTCTCTCGGTCCTTTCTTCACCTAGTTCAGTTTCGCTCACAGGTTTAGGTTCACCTTTAAGACAAGGCATCTCACCCTCGTTCAATGCGACATCCCTACTTACGATGATCTTTACCCCCTTTTGGCTTCTATCTCATAACTTATAACCCTTAACATTTTTAGGGTATCCTAGAAAGACACATTTTCTAACTTTAGGTTCAACAAGCTTTCACTCTCTCTGATGGGAAAAAGCAGTACGACCAAAATGTTCTAAGTATAGAGTAAACACTCAGTTTACCAAACCACTTCTTATGAGAAGTGTCACCATTTAAAGCAGCAGATGGGGTCAAATTAATCAAATAACAAGCAGTTATAACAGTTTCATCCCAAAACGACATTAGGACAACAGAACTTAACATCATGCAACGTACTTTATCAAGTATAGTTCTATTCATCATTTTTGCTACCCCGTTTTGATGAGGAGTGTAAGGGACCATCTTATTAATTGTTATTCCATTTTCTTTACACATACTGTCAAATTCAGTATTACAAAACTCTAGGCCATCATCTATCCTAAAAAATTTAATCCTTTTGCCTGTTTAGTTTTCCAATTGTCTTTTCTAGTTGTTAAAGTTATGAAAAGCGTCAGATTTATCTTTCAGAAGATAGACACACACTTTCCTAGTCTAGTCGTCAATAGTAGACAGAAAATACATATTCCCACCTGATGTGAGATTACTAGCAGGACCCCATAGATTAGAATGCTTTCAAGCATGCCTTAACTTTATGAATACTAGTGAAGAATGATGTTTTATGATACTTATTAAATACATAGTGATCATAGAATGACAAATCAGACACACAGTCATTACCAAAAGTACCTTTTTCATCAAGAAGCTTCAGTCTCTTAATCCCTATGTGTGCAAGCTTATTATACCATGTATGTGTGTGATCAACCTTGATA